TTGTGGATCTATACAATGCCATGCCTCTTCCGAAATTCAACTACATTTTTATTTTATTTTACCAGGTAAGGCCCACTCAGCTATATAGCTTGTTTTTCAGAAGCGACCTGGTTATCACAAATGACGGCTCAACGAAGCGTGGTTTATCACGCGGACATTTAAAACAGTCAAATAATCTAAACGCGTAATGTTGATTCTAAATGTGGAGGGAAAACCCAAATATACAGCAGCAGGCGTCAGGGTCGGGATCGAACCCTCCACCTCCTTCATACCAGGCGAGGTAGTTAACATCTCCTAGCCACCGTGGCACCCGTCTGTCATTGCGTGATATTTTCATTTCCCCTCGACCGTCGTCTGGAACGTCAATTCCATGGGTTTCAAGACAAGACTCAAAAACGTGCGACATTTGTGCGCTATGAAGAAAAACACATCAACAGCTCCTAAAGAACTGCATTGCAATTGGGCCTCTCGTGTCAGGTCATTTGTGAGCGAATGCGGCCGAATAACGGCGACATTGTCGTTAGAACCATTAGACAACGCTGCTCCAACGTTGCATGTTTAGGGGTCATCCATTTAGTACGTACGCATGGAGGGGGCAGGGGGGGGGGGGGTTAACCCAAATACGTTCGCTTGCGTATGGGGGTCTACTGACAATGTACGCATAGGAAACTGGGGGGGGGGGGGTGTGAAGCCTCGATAATAATTTGTCTACATTAGCCTTCAAATGAGTTAGATAGTCCGGCGGTGGACTATCTGTTTTCTTAAACACGTTAACATTATTAATCCTTGATCGTTTCTGCGTGGATTAAATATCGGTCGTTATATAAGATTCGGGGGGGGGGGGGGGGGGCGTCAGGCGTACGTACGCAGTTGGGGGGGGGGTGTAAAAAGTCCGCGTGCGTACAGGGAGGGGGAAAAAGGTCAAGTTTTGACAGATTTTTGCCGACCTACTCAATGGATGGCCCCTTACTGGGCGTTGGTGACGATTTTGCGCTGCTCATGCTGATGCTGCTGCTGCTGCTGATGATGCTGCTGCTGATGATGCTGCTGCTAATTATGGTGAAACCGGTCCACAGTTCTCGATCCCTGCATCGCTGCTGCTGCTCCTGCCGCTGCCATTCGGTCACAGGTTGATGGCGACCTCAAACAAGAGGTCCAACTACAACGCACTTGCTATCAGGAGCTGTTGATGGGGTTTTGCATCCAACGTGCAAAGGCTGCGTGGTCTTGTCGCGCGACTTCGAGTCTTGCTCGAAACCCTGCGGGCTTTCTTGAAGGAGGTTCTCGTCATGTACAGATCTGAACGGCGAAATCCCCCCGCAGACGTCCGTGCTGACGACTACCCCCCGCCCCCGATTCAATTCCAGGCGTAAGCCCTGCCTGATGAGGCTCAAGTAGTTTATTGTTCCATTGGAACCTCATTTGCCAGTAAAAATATGATAATTGTTTTTTTTACTCTTCTATCTGGCAACAAAACTGACACTTTTTTTACAAGGAGTCATGTTTACATAGACCACAATACCTGCAGTCATAATGCAAACAAAAAACATAACTCTGATAATGTATGCACTGTCCTTGAAGTTGATTGGTCCACACCCGAGACAGCTTTCCTTAGAGCCTAGTCTCATCTGGTCCAACCCATGTGAGACTAGGCTCTAAGGAAAGCTGTCTCGGGTGTGGACCAACACAAAAACAATTATCATAGTTTATTGTTGAACCAGGGTGTGAACTCAAGTGGAGACATGATAGGAGTCTCATTTTCAAGAGTGACTCCGTTAATTGAGTGGGTGGGTGAGTTGATTCAAGAGCCGAATGGCTCACAGGGCTATACCAAATAAATGAAACTGAAAACTGAAGTTGAGTTGGTGAGTTCAAGTTACAAGCAGTCTATTCTTTAACCCGTTGTGAACTCAAGATGTGGGGAATGCTGCACAAAGGTAAATCAACGTTACAGAACGAATTGCGTGGAGCGTGAGACGGCTCCCATAGATGAATGTTAACCCGATCTCGGCACAATTACAAAATGAAGTTACAGAAACATTCACCATTTGTCGAGTGCGACGATTGTACGAATGTGTAGACAGACGGTTATGGACTAGTCAAATGGGCAATGTTAGTCTGGGAAATGTTAGTCCATAGGCAGTGTCAGTCTATGGGCAATGTTAGCCTATGGGCAGTGTTAGTCTATGGGCAGTGTTAGTCTATGGGCAATGTTAGTCTGGGCAATGTTAGCCTATGGGCAATATTAGTCTGGGCAATGTTATTCTGGGCAATGTCAGTCTATGGGCAGTGTTAGTCTATGGGCAGTGTTAGTCTATGGACAGTGTTAGTCTATGAAAAATGCTAGTTTATGTGCAATGTTAATATATGGGCAGTGTAAGTCAATGGAAAATGCAGGTCTCTGGTGACTATTGTTTCAACATGTAAACAGACACGGGATTATACGATGTCAATTGTAAGTGAAGTTATAAATAACAGACAGTTTATTGTACAGTCATGCAACTCAGTTTCTTTAACGACCGCCTACTACCGAACGTAGACGGTGCGTATGCTGCTGCTGATGATGATGTCGTGGTTATAATGCTGCTGATGATGCTGATGATGTCATGGTTAGAATTCTGCTGATGTTCATGGTGCTGATGATGATGTGGTCGTTATAATGCTGCTGATGATGCTGATGATGTCATGGTTAGAATTCTGCTGATGTTCATGGTGCTGATGATGATGTCGTCGTTATAATGCTGCTGATGATGATCATGATGATGGTGCAGATGATGATGTTATGGCTATAATGCTGCTGATGGTGACGTTGGTGGTGATGTTATGATTATAAATCTGCTGATGATGATGATGGTCGTGGTGCTGCTACTGATGACGATGCTAGTGCCGATCACGGTCTTTAGGATCGGTCGAGAGACACGGGGGGAGAGAGAGAGGAGGTGAGGAGAGGAGGAGTGAAGGGAGAGAGGAGGTGAGGGGAGGAGGAGGTGAGGGGAGGAGGAGGTGAGGGGAGGAGGAGGTGAGGGGAGGAGGAGGTGAGGGGAGAGAGGAGGGTGAGGGGAGGAGGAGGTGAGGGGAGGAGGAGGTGAGGGGAGAGAGGAGGTGAGGGGAGGAGGAGGTGAGGGGTGGAGGAGGTGAGGGGAGGAGGAGGTGAGGAGAGAGAGGAGGTGAGGGGAGGAGGAGGTGAGGGGAGAGAGGAGGTGAGGGGAGGAGGAGGTGAGGGGAGGAGGAGATGGGATGATGATGAGGAGAAAGCCTCTTAGGCCTCCTCACCCCGTTACCTCCTTCACCCCGTTACCTCCTCACCCCGTTACCTCTGCGCCCCAGTACCCCTCACCTCGTTACCCTGTTAACAGCCCCCCTCCGCCCACCCCCCGTTACCCCCCCCCCCACGCACTTCTCGCACCGGGGTCCCGAGGGTCACCGCTTTGCCTGGCAACTGCCACCTTGCGTAGGTGCGCGTGTGTGTGTACACGTGTGTGTGTGTACCCGTGTCTGTGTGTGTGTACCTGTGTGTGTGTGTATACCCATGTGTGTATACCCATGTGTGTGTACTTGTGTGTGTGTGTGTACCCGTGTGTGTGTACCCGTGTGTGTGTGTGCCCGTTTGTGTACCCGTGTGTGTTTGTACCCGTGTGTGTATGTACCCGTGTGTGTGTACCCGTGTGTGTGTGTGTACCCGTTTGTGTACCCGTGTGTGTGTGTGTACCCATGTGTGTGTGTGTACCCATGTGTGTGTCTACCCGTGTCTGTGTGTGTGTACCCATGTGTGTGTACCCATGTGTGTGTACCCATGTGCGTGTGTACCTGTGTGTGTGTGTGTACCTGTGTGTCTGTGTGTGTACCCGTGTGTGTGTGTGTACCCGTGTGTGTCTACCCGTGTCTGTGTGTGTAGTGTAGTGGTGAGCGCCCTGCGCTACAAACCCAGCGACACTAGTTCGATTCCCGCTCACGGCCAACACCAATGACGATTATCTGAACCGGTCCTGGGCCTTCCCTAGGTCGACTCAGCCTCAAATGAGTACCTGGTGCGGTGTGTAAACATCGTCACTGGGGAGACAAAGGCGGCCGGGCGTGGTGCTGGCCACCCACCCCCTCGTGTGCCGCGGTGGCCGTCATCGGTGCTCCCTAACAGCACTTGCCCCTACAGTCTGTTAAGGCTACACGGGGGATCTTTGCCTCTGTTAGCGCGCACACACAGACACACGCAGACACACGCAGACACACACAGAAACGCAGACACGCACAGACACACGCACAGACACCCACAGACACACACACACACAGACACACACACAGACACACAGACACACACACACAGACACACAGACACACACACACAGACACCTGCGCGTGCTCACCTGCGCGTGGGTGAGCACGCGTGAACGTCTCTGCTCCTCCCAGGGCATCCTACTCAGCCCCCCCCCCGCCCCCCACTCACTCGGGTTAGAACGCAGCGGGAGACGGGAGAGACGCGAGGGAGAGACGCGAGGAGGGAGATTTGCAGGAGACGGCAGTCGCCGCTGTCAGAGCCGGCGTCTCCTCCCGCCTCCACGACAGCCGTTACCCCTGACGTTACCCCTGACGTTACAGTGATCTCTCTCCCGTTACCTCTCTCGTTACCCCCCCCTCCCCTCACGGCCCCTCCCCCTCACCTCCCAGACGAAGCTTCCCTCCCCTTCACCACCAAGGTCACTGCCGGCATCGCGGCGCGCGCAGGGGGCGCGCATCTTCCTCCTCCTCGCCCCCCCATCTCCTGCTCCCCCTCTCTTCCTCTCTTCTCTCACTCTCCATCAATTCCTCTTCCCTCCACTACCTCCTCCATTCCTACACCTTCTCCCTCTTACCCTCCTCACCCCCACCTCCTCCTCCTCCCCCCCCACCTCCTCCTCCCCCCCACCTCCTCCTCCCCCCCACCTCCTCCCCCCCCCCTCCTCCTCCTCCTCCCTCCCACCTCCTCCTCCTCCCCCCCACCTCCTCCCCCCCCCCGGATTCCCAGAGCTGGAGGCGGGGAGTGATGGCGTCTCTCCCCCTCCCCCTCAAGGCTCCAAAGGCCCAGATCTGCTGCTGCTGGATGCAGGTGAGAAACACCTGCTCAACACAGACTCACAGAGAGACCCATATACTCACAGAGAGACCCATATACTCACAGAGAGACCTATACACTCACAGAGAGACCTATAGACTCACAAAGAGACCCATAGACTCACAACGAGACCCATATACTCACAGAGAGACCCATATACTCACAGAGAGACCCATATACTCACAGAGAGACCTGTAGAGTCACAGATAGACCCATAGACTCACAACGAGACCCATAGACTCACAGAGAGACCCATATCCTCACAGAAAACCCCATATACTCAGAGAGACCTATATACTCACAAAGATACCCGTAGACTCGCAGAAAGACCTGTAGATTCACAGAGAAAATTAAATAATACGTAGAAATCTATAGATTAAAATAGATGAATAGGCCCACATCTCAATTTCTCACCCATCCACCATCACCCCACTCCACTCACCCCTTCACCATCACCCCACTCCCTCACCCCTTCACCATCACCCCACTCCCCTCACCCCTTCACCATCACCCCACTCCCCTCACCCCTTCACCATCACCCCACTCCCTCACCCCTTCACCATCACCCCACTCCCCACTCCCTCACCCCTTCACCATCACCCCACTTCCTCATCCCAATCCCTCACTTGCTTAGGCATTCATTTCTGACTCGATATTTTCCGGAACCCTGCTAGGCTGACTTGGAGAAGGGATTATGGCATAAGGCACTACCACTGGAGTATAGGGCACGACTCTTCATACACATTCCTCTATGATCGTATTCTGTATTAGGGGCCGTCCATAAATGACGTCACGCACCTAGGGGGGGGGTCAGACATTTGTGACGTGTGACGAGGGGGGGGGGAGGGGTTTGAGAAATGTGACATCACATCAAAATGCGCAACTTTAAATAAATTTAGACAACACGTTCTACTTAATTAAATATACTTTTTAATAAATGTTTTTTCCTACAACATCAGAGTGCAGCGCCACGTTAAATACGCACTACAATGACTATAGTTTAAAGCGATTTGAAGCATTTTTTTTGGGGGGGGGGGGAAATCGCGTGACGTCATTTATGGACGGCCCCTTAATCCCATAATTAATCAAACAGGATTATAAATATGGACTTGCAACCCGCACTGCTTTTTTATTTTAGTGTGTTAGTTTGTTGTCCTTCCCCCGCACCTCCGATTAGCGCGGTTGGCTACGTACGGTGCGAAAGAAGTTCAACCCACACACGTCATTTGGACGCAGCCAAAGGAGAAGAGGAAGAAGACGCAGGAGAGATATTTCTTTTGGTTTTTGACTTTGACCCAAATAGTTCGAGAACCGCATCACAGGCAGAGCTACTTGTACACAAACACAGCAGCGGGTAAACAGCAAGATGACAACAACAACAACAACACATTATGACTTAAATAAACAAAATAGTGATGGAATAAAGTGCGTCTATTTAAAAAAAATCCTGCATTTAGTTATTCTTTAACAGTACAGTTTGACTGTTGTACATTTTGTCGTCACCAATACATTCCATAGCCACACATTCCCTGCCGTATTTAATAAATTGTCGTGACGTTAAATGATGTTTAAGGTTAAAGTTTTGTTTTGGGGTTGTTGTTAAACGGGGGAAGCCAAAGAGGCGCAGGTTGCCGACCCCTGGAAGTGACCCTGCGTCCCCCCCCCCCCCCCTGCTGCCTGCTGCTGTAGGCGTCGCTACGCACCTCCCTGCTGCTGCTACTGCTGCTGCTGGCGGGCACCTCGCTCGCCCTGCAGTGCCCCCCGCGCTGCGACTGCCCCCCGACCTCGGGGGGCTCCGTGCTGTGCGCGCGCCGCCGCCTCCTCGCCGTGCCCGGGTCCGCGCCGGGGTCGGCGCGCTCCCTGGACCTGTCGCGCAACCACGTGGCGCGCCTGGGCGCCGGGGACCTCGCGGCCTGGGCGGCCCTGGAGGAGCTAGACCTGAGCGAGAACGCGCTGGGCGCGCTGGAGCCGGGCTCCTTCGCGGGGCTGGGCGCCCTGCGCTCCCTGTCGCTGCGCTGTAACCGCATCGCGGTGCTCCTGAGCGGAGCCTTCGCGGCTCTCGGCGCCCTGCGGCGGCTGGACCTGAGCGGCAACCGCATGCGCGCCGTGCCGCGCGGCGCCTTCTCGGGTCTGGGCGCCCTGGGCAGCCTCGATTTGTCCGAGAACTCGCTGCTGTGGGTGTCACAGGGCGCCTTCGAGGGCCTGGGCGCCCTGCGCTCGCTGTCGCTGCGCCGCGCGGGGCTGCGCGCCCTGCCGAGCGGCGCCCTCGCCCGGCTGCCCGCGCTGTCCGAGCTGGACGCGTCGGGCAACTCCCTGCGCGCGCTGGGACCTCGCTGCCTGCGGGGGGTCCCGCGCCTGCGCGTGCTGCGGCTGTCGGGCGCGGGGCTACGGCGCGTGGAGCCGGGCGCCCTGCGCGGCCTCCCTGCGCTCCGCGACCTCGACCTCTCGGAGAACGCCCTGGACTCCCTGCCCGAGCGCGCCGGCGCCCCGCTCGCCCTGCGTGCCCTGCGCCTCGACGGCAACCCCATCGCGTGCGACTGCCGCCTCCTCTGGCTGCGCACCCGGCCGAGTCCCGAGGCGCTGCTGGGGGGCGGCGAGGGCCCCCCCTGCGCGGCGCCCCCCGAGGCGCGGGGCGCGCGGCTGCTGAGCGCCCCGCTGCGGTGCAGGGCGCCGCGCGTGAGGCTGCGCGCGGGGCCCGTGGCGGTGCGCGCGGGGGGCGCCGTGCGCATCCCGTGCAGCGCGAGAGGGGACCCGCCCCCCAGCCTCGCGTGGAGGGACCCCCGGGGCCGCTGGTACGAGCACGAGGGGGATGAGGACGATGAGGGGGGTGAACGGCAGGGGGAGCAGGGGGAGAAGGGGGAGGCAGGAGAGCAGGGCGAGAATGGCGGGGAGGAGGAGGAGGATAAGGAGGAGGAGGATGAGAAGAAGGAGGAAGAGGATGGGGAAGAGGGGACGAGAGAGCCAATAGCGAATGGAGAACAGGGAGACACTAGGGAGCAGAGAGGAGGTGGTGGTGATGAGGAGGGGGGGAAGCAGGGGGATGGGAAGGGGGGTGAGCAGGAGGGTGATGATGATGATGATGACGATGATCGAGAGCGCGGGCCCCGGCTCCGCGTGCTGCGGGACGGCTCGCTGCTCCTCGTGTCGGCGCGCGCGCGGGACCGCGGCTCGTACACGTGCGTGGCCTCCAGCGCCGCGGGCCGCCACCTCCGCGCGGTGCCCCTCGTCGTGTCGGGGCCCGGGGGGGTCCCGCCGCCGTCCCTCTCCGACCCCTCCGACTCCTCGGACCTTTGGGACCCAGCGGACCCCTGGGACGCCGTCGATCCCGCAGACTCCGAGAGCTTCAACGCGACGGGGACGCGCGGGGAGGCGCGCGAGCCCGCCGGGACCCCGCTGACCCCGCTGACCCCCTTGCTGCTGGTGTCCGCGGGGCTGGGGGGCCTCACCTTCCTCGGCGTTGTGATTCTCTGCCTCCTGGTCCTCGCCGCGGGAACGCGGAGTTGGGGCCACAAGAGGAGGAGGAGGACGAGGCAGCGAACGGAGCTCGAGTACGGGGGGACCCGCAGATCGAGGGGGGGTCCCAGGAGCCCCAGCCGGGCCCCCCCTCGTCACTTCGTCATGAGGATGATGTGAGCTTCCTAACAACGGTGGCACTAGGTAGGCTAAAACCAAGTACGAGTGTAGGGCCCCAATTAGCTCAAGGGGATTTGGTTTTATGAAATGTAGAAGCGCTTCAATGATCAGATGAAATTCTAATTAATATTAACACGATAATTGGTTCTTTACCCTTCTATCTGGCAACAAAACTGACACCTTTTTGCAAGGAGTCGTGTTTGCATAGACCGCAATACCTGCAGTCATAAATACAAACAAAAGACATAACTCTGATAATGTGCACTGTCCCCGAGACAGCTCTCAGGAAAGCTGTCTCGGGTGTGGACCAATCAACTTCAAGGACAGTGCACATTATCAGAGTTATGTCTTTTGTTTGTATTTATGACTGCAGGTATTGCGGTCTATGCAAACACGACTCCTTGCAAAAAGGTGTCAGTTTTGTTGCCAGATAGAAGGGTAAAGAACCAATTATCATATTTTTACTGGCAAATGAGGTCCCCATAATATTAACACATCAAGATAATCAACATAAACAGCGAATTAATCTCTCCTCTGTATCATGTCTGCATCCTTCCTCTCATTTCACTCCATCCCTGTCTCGCCTGGATCTCCCCTCATCTCGCTACAGCTCTATCTCTTCTCTACATCTATTCTGCCCCCCCCCTCCACAACACCGACGAGATGGGAATAACAAATACAGAAGACTAAGCACACGGTTTTCTTTTAAAATGGTCTAACTTTTCAATTTAATTATTCATGTTAATATTTCGCCAGAATATTCTTAAAATCCGAGAAAAAATAAACCTCACAATGCATATTATCTTGGCATTATTTTATGAGATTAAACAACGCAGATTACTCGCAGTGCTCCGTGTACAGGATGATTGTGAGAAGAGTATACACATCACAGCTGTTGCATTTATTTCCGTTGCGGAGCACCAGCGGGTTCTTTCCTCGTAATGTCACCAATCGTAGACGACGTGGAGCTGCATCGCATCCGTGCTGCACGTGACCATCCCGGCGTCTTTGTGCGCTCACCGCAACACCACGTGCCACCACCGTTGTCGTCATCACTCGTTCGCCATAGCTCTGTGGTCGATGTCTCCGTGAAATTCGTTCGCAATTGCCTCATCAGTAGCTGTAGCAACGTCGTCAAAGTGTTGTGTGTAAATCAACGTCGACGTCACTTCAAACAAATCCGACCGCAGTCCTGTTCGTAAGCCAGTGGATTCGTAGCTTGGGAGAGGGCGGGGTGGGGGAGAAGGACTTTAATCGAGCAGTGGATTGGCCGATTACGATGGTGAGCAATAGCAACTCCCACACGTGTAGTGGCATTGCCTTTGATCCTGTACGTGTAACAATAGTGTAGTTCAGCAGCATTGTTTTGTTGTGGGTTTCCAGGTGGCTCCACGGGGCCTCTTTTTACAATCTTTTTTTTTTATCAGAGCACTGATCAGTTGTTGTGGAGTACAGTGAGTCCTCGTTGAACGCGATAGATGCGTTTCTGAAAAGTGCCACGTTAAGCGAAAAACGCGTTTAGCGAAAACCTTTCCCGATAAGTAATGTAGCGATAATGTTTGTGGCGAGATACGATGTGCTACACACAGTGAGGTGGCGGGCCAAATAACTCAGGGCACGCCACCACGTGATTGCTCAGCCGTGCAGCTCTAGAAAGTAGTTCGTAATCGACCGCTCAGAAACCCCGTTATAACGGACACGTTCCGCGTTATAATGGTCGCGTTCTGCCTTATAACCGGCGCGTTCTGCGTTATAACCGGCGCGTTCTGCGTTATAACCGGCGCGTTTCGCGTTATAACGGGCGCTTTCCACGTTGTGCGAAAAGTGTTCCCAAATGGAAGAACTGCGTTGTAGCGAACACGCGTTGTGCAACCACGTGTTGAGCGAGGGCTTAACTACGTAACTGTGTACCCTACACGATAGCTATGAGGTTTGTTCATGCTTAAGTTGCCAACAGACGTGATTGATTTCACGTTAACTATACGGGCCCACGCTTTGGGCAACCGCCAATGTTGTACAGTACTGCGCTATGCTCCAACGTCTTTGCTCCCTGCGCCTTCACCAACAAGCCGGCACGGTGTAGTATGGTCAAATAACCGCCATGACACCGCACGTGAGTGGGGAGTTTGGAGGCCTCTCATCCAGCAGTGGAGTGACAATAAAAACAGCCGTGTGCCCTTATTCTTTCGTTGTACATATGAGTTGTTTATTTAAATCTCTTGTTGTATTTTTACTGTACCCCCTTGTCATAGAGATAATTTATTTTAAATAAACGTTATATTATTATTATCACGTGTTACCGACAGACTTTTATCTGTGAGTCAACGTGGGTGAGGGGGGTGGGGAGTTTGAATCTCCCGCCGGGGCGTGACGTCATCACGAGAACTCTCTCTCTCCGTGACGTCACCGCGCGGTCACGTGAGGCCGAGCTCACCGATGGCGATGGAGGAGGCGGCGCGGCTGGAGGAGCCGGGACTTGCGGTGGAGACCTCGGAATCGGTGAGGTTCGGGGGCCCCGGGGGCGAGCTGGGGGACGTGGGGTCCCGGCATGCGAACGCCCCCCCCCTAGGGGAAGCGCGAGGCCGGAGGCGTCAGGGGGACGCGGGGCCTCGCCGCTGCGTGAGCGGAGCTTCAACGGGGGGCCTAGTGCAGGCTTTATACGGCTTTCCTGAACTGCGGCCCCCGGCAGCCCTGCAGCGATTTGGGGCGGGGTTGCTCTCAGCACGAGACGCTCTTCGGCCTCCCCGAACCCCATGTGTGTTCGTGTCCCCGTGTCCACGATACTCTCTGTCTCCCCCTGTCCCCTCTCTGTCTCCCCGTGTCTCACCCGTCCTCTCCTATCACCGTACGCCCCCCCCCCCCTCTCCCCGTGTTCTCCAGGACTCGAGCGATGCGAGCAGCACGGACAGCGGCAGGGATGTGGCGGACGGGGCGACCACGACCTCGTCCCCGGCGACCCTGGGCACCGGTGAGTGAGGGCAGCCCGCAGTGGTTCACCGGGTCACGAGGTCGCCGGCTCACGGCTGCCATCTCTCCACCCACCCAGTGTCACTGACAAACAGATGATGCTGGATAATGACGGTGGTGGTAATCATGACAACGGTGGTGGTGTTGCTGACGATCACGGTAACAAATCACAGCTGGTCACCGGCACACTGCCCCCCCACCACGCCCCCTCGTCGTCATGATTACATCGCGAAAGTGAAGAGGTCACGGTGGAGGGTTACCATGCCACACAGGTGACCAGGTCACTGGGCCCCCTCACCCCTCACCCCACACCCCACACCCCTTCCGTAGCAGCAGACAAACAGCGCGATCGGGAGCGTGAGGGGGCGCGTCGGGGAGAGGGCAGCCCCGTGAGCCAGCAGCCCAAGAAGGGGGCGCGCACGCGGCTCGGTGCGCCCAGCAAGGGCTACGCCTCGCTGGAGCAGAGGCCCGACGAGAAACCCCTGGTGGCCATCGACTCCGACAGGTGCCGATCTTTTGCTTCCAGCTCGCACGCGCGCGCATGTACAGCTCGCGCAAACACACACGTACGGCTCGCACTCACACGTGCACACACGTACTGCTCGCACGCGCACACACATACAGCCTGCATGCACGCAAGTACAGCTTGCGCACACCCACTTACAGCTCGTACACACGGACGCGCTTCAGGATCGCAGCTAACACACGCAGTCAAGCTCACACACAGACTCAGCTCACGCACACGTACAGCCACACACACACGTACAGCCCACACACACGAACAGCTCACACACACGTACAGCCACACACACACGTACAGCCCACACACACGAACAGCTCACACACACGTACAGCCACACACACACGTACAGCCCACACACACACGTACAGCCACACACACACGTACAGCCTGCACACACACGAACAGCCTGCACACACGAACAGCTCGCACACACGTATAGCCACACACACACGTACAGCCCACACACACACGTACAGCCCACACACACGAACAGCTCACACACACGTACAGCCACACACACACGTACAGCCCACACACACGAACAGCTCACACACATGTACAGCCACACACACATGTACAGCCCACACACACACGTACAGCCACACACACACGTACAGCCCACACACACGAACAGCCTGCACACACGAACAGCTCGCACACACGTACAGCCACACACACACGTACAGCCCACACGCACGAACAGCTCACACACTTACAAACACTCTCAGTCTCAGCCCACAGATACGCACAAGCTCAAAGCTCACACATACAGTTCACAGCTCATACAGACACAGGCTCATGCATACTTCCAGTGCACACACACACTCAAGCTCACACTCACTCAGACTCACAGATTACACACGCATATTGCACACCTCACACAGACTCAAGCAAGCACACCACAGCTCAGAGAACACATACAGACACAAGCTCACACACTCAAACTTACAGATCATACACACGGGGCACGGAGTAGGTGTTTGTGACGAGGTGTGACAAGGTGTGCTGTGAGGAGATGGTGTTCAATAAAGTAGTAAGAGGTGCTCTGTGTAGCAAGCAGGTATTAAAGAGGTACTGTGTGTGGTTCGTACATGTTGGTAGTAGTGAGGAGGTGCTGAGTAGGTGTTGCGTGTGGTGAGGTGGTGGCTCGTGACGAGGTGTTGTTCTGTGTTCACAGCGAGGATGAGATGACGCTTTCGCGCTACTCCTCGTCGGGATATTCTTCTGCAGAGGTGAGACCCCTCCCCCCGGAGCCCCCGTAACCCCTGACCCATGGCGCCCTCACGATCCCTGTGTGCCACATTGCATTGCGCTAGAAATCCGTTCCCTCGTCACCATCAATGCTAAAGATGACAAAAATGTTAATGTTAATGATGCTGGTGATTATGACGGTGATGATAAACAATGTTCATGATGCTGGTGATAATGATGGTGATAATGATTATTAATATTATGATGATGATAATGGTGGTGATGGTGACGATTACGGCGACGGATGAGGGGACCCATCTGTTCTAGATTTGAAGCTTTCGTGACTGCAAGGATTCATATTCTTAGGTTTTTTCGGTAAAGTCACGTAGGTAAAAAATTTAAATTAATAAAAGTAAAATAAAATAAAAATAAAATAAAAATCACGACGTTTCGGAGGCAACACAAGCTTCCGTCTTCAGCAGCAAGCGTGCTGTGACGGTTCCACCTGAAGACGGAAGCTTGTGTTGCCTCCAAAACGTGGTGATTTTTATTTTATTTTACTTTTATCAATTTTAATTTTTTACCTACGTGACTTTACCGAAAAAACCTAAGAATATGGGACCCATCTGTTTTTGTAGCAAATCAACCAGGACCTGAACCGGCAGCTGCTGAAGGACGGGTACCGTCTGGACGAGGTCCCAGACGACGAGGACTTGGACCTCATCCCCCCCAAACCCATGAGCCCCGCGTGCGTCTGCTGCCAGCTCGCGTCTCCCTCCACCACGTGCAATGTGCAGTAGGGCTTGGGACGCAAACACCATCAATACCACCACCACCACAACGACCGTCCTAATACTAACAGCACCACCACCACGACACTGGTGTTGCCAGCTCGTGTCCCACACCGCCACTTGTAACTTGCAGTAGGGGCGGCACCTAAACTACTACTACCACCGCTACCAATACCCAGACACAACCGCCGCGATCAATACCATTACCAATACCAGCACAAACGCCGTGATCAATACAAACACCAATAAGACCAAATACCACAAGCACTGATATCACAACAACCACCATCTCAGCCACCACCAGTCCCTCGCATCAACACAACCACTGCACTCAACACCAGCACCACAACTGCCAACAGCTATGTCACACGCGCAATAAATACCAGAACTCCTACCAACCACCACCACCACCACAGTGTTGCTGCTAGCATTGGGGTGCATAATGCTGGTATTGGGTGTTCCGCTTGATGGGTGGTGATGGTGATTATATAGATGGTGATGATAGTGATGGTGATGAAGCGCTTGATGATGGTGGTAGGTGGCGATGGTAATGATGATGATGATGATTGCGCTCACATAGCGGTGAAGCTGGAGATGATTATACACCTGTTCATGATGGTAATTAGTGATGAAACTTGAAGATGAGGATGGCGATGAAGTTGGTGGTTTTGACGGTGGGGCGAGGGAGCTGCCGTCACTGGTGATATGGTGATGTAGATGGTGATGTGCTAGTGCCTCTGTCTTGTGCTCCCTCACTCGCTAGACATTTTAAACTGACGATTATGGTGAGGCTGCTGATGATACTGATGATGAGGATGGTGGTGGTGCTGATGGTGATGGTGCTGCTGTTGTTATGAAGACTGTTGGGATGAAATTGCTCATGATGTTGATATTGAGAATGTTGGTGATGGTAATGTTGATAAGCCTGCTGGTGGTTGTGATGATGGTGGAAATAATGGTGGTGATAGTGATGATGATGAATTCTGAAGCTGCTGCTGCAGATAACGATGGCAAGGAATACGATTATATTCACGATGGTGGTGTTGGTTACATTTTAGCTGATCGCGATGGTATTGATAATGGCGATGTTGAGAGTGACGATCATAATGTTGATGGCAGTGGTAATTATGATGATGATGATAATAGTGATGTTGAGGATGAGGCTTGGTGCCCGGTTGACATCATTCCGTGCCTGCTCCGCGCCAGGCTTTGGATTCTAAAATTTTAAAACTCTCTCCGTCTGGTGATGGAGGCATTGCTCGCTTCCCCCACGACCCCTCCCCCCCCACAGACCCTCACCTTTCGGGACCCCCCCCCCCCCAAAGTTCACCCTAAACTCCGGGCATCTCATATGACGCCCTATGAAGCAAATGCCAATGATTCACCCAGTGAAAATGTTGATTTCATACAAATATGAGCACAGGGTTTACCGCCGCTGACTCCAGCCAGCGGAGCTGCCATCTAGCCCCATCCATTGCAGGCCCACGCCTATAGCGCCTCTGGTATTGCCAGGCCGTCTACCATTCAAGCGCCAAGCGGACTGAACCCCCGCTCAGCCTGACGAGCTCCTCAGGTCACAGGCGATCGATAGGATTCCACGGGGGCATGCGGAGCGGTAGCGCAGCAGTTGGTGCACTGCACCGTGTGAGCCAGGCGGGGCTGAGTTCGCGTTCACCACGGCTCACATCAGTGGCGAGGGATCTCAGAAATCGGTGCTTTGCCAACTCGCACTGCCCAGAGTGGTGAAGTACGTCGCTTCACAAAATCCACATGGCCGACTATGGTATGGGGCCGCCTTTAATCCATTGGTGGATTTAAAGTGGCTGGGATGGTTACAATGACCAGGCGGTGAAGTGGGACCAGGGCCCTCTGGGTGGTGGTGGGGGTTCTGGCAGAGGGAGGGGGGTGGGCGGTGGGCTTGGGTCTGAGGGGGGCGGTGGGGGGTTTGGGGGCCGTCCCCCCTCCCCCACTGTTCGGTCCGCCCCACATTTCAGTGTCACTTTTTCGAGGCCACGTGGCTCTTTTTAATTGATAATTAGCGCTATTTATTTATTTATTTGTGTCTGACTTTGCATGATGATGATGCTGATGCTGCTGCGTCAGCGATTTGCACTATGAGTTGCGTCCGGTGTATGTTATTTTGAGGGTGGTGTTGGGGGGGGAGTTGGTCAAGGAGAGGGGGATGGAGCGGGGGGCTATCAGCCCCGCTCCTCAACCCCCCCCCCCCACCCCCTCTTTGTTTTCGTGCCCACGTCGCGGCGTCACGTGACCCCTGCTCGTTCTGATTGCGATGGTGTGAGAGGAAGGCGACTGCTCTGCTGATGCTGATGTATCCGTGGTTGGTCACTGCAGACAATAAAATTCGCTATCGCCGCGCGAGCGACAGCTCCCACCGCCCCCGTGACCGGCGTGAGTCGTGGTGCCGCCGGGGACCCTCCCGCTAGGTCGGCTTCGACGCAAACGAATCGGCGCTCACAAACACTGCCTGTTGTCGCTGGGGTGGGGTTGGGGTCTCAAGCCCGCCACGTGACTCGTGTCCACGACTGTAGGGGCTTGTGGGGGGGGGGGCACTGGAATAGGGGGGGTGTGGGGGTTGGAGGCACTGCGTGGTGAAGGGGATACTGAGGTGGGGGTCTTGTGAAGAGTGGGGGCGAGGTGGGTCGAGGTGAGACCCCTGATAGCACACGTGTTCGACGAAGAGAGAAGCCCCTCCCCAGTGCGCACCCCTCCCCTCTCCTCCCTCCTCTCCTACCCCTCCCCCCTACTCCCCCTCCCCTCTCTCCTCCCCCCTACTCCCCCTCCCCTCCTCCCTTTCTCCGCCCCCGCACATCGGTAGAATGTTAATGTACGATTGTTTATGTCCGATGAAGAAGGGCCGTTGCCCGAAACGTTGCCCATTTTATATATACAGTATATTGTTTTCCTTTTTAAGGCCACACAGCAGGGCTGTGATGGTCGAACGTGTTGAGTTTGACCTATTAACATGAGAATGGCGCCAGTGCCAAACGAGGTGGTGTGTAGGGGGCGGGCTGGGGGAGGGGCGGGGCTGGGAGAGGGGGGCGGGGCGCCTACACGCGAGTACACGCCTCGTGATCACAATAGCATCATCGCCACTACTGTCACAATCACTGCCATCACCATGGTCACAATCGGCATCACTCACCACAACCGTGTAGGCACCACATTCAGTAATATCACCAACACCATCATCACCACACTGCCCCGCCCCCGATCCTGATTTGTCTGGATCTCCTCCGCGTTCTCCGATTTCCTCCCATTGCTAAAAAAAACCGCAAACACTTAACTGCTATTGACCAAAACATCCCATTGCTGGTACAACTCTCTGTAAATCACTCGGTCTGGATCACATGCAGCAGCAGCAGCAACGTGGCATCCGACTACGAAAACTTGGCAAGACCCTCCTGGAGAAGAGTCCTGAGTAGTCGGCGAGGCTTTCCTGGTGAGCGGGAAAGGACAAAGGGGTTCCGGGACGGAAGTCCTCCAAGAGAGACGCACAGGGCACGGCTCAAGATGAGCGGCGTGAAGGAAGGAGGAGGGGGGGGGAAGGAATGGCCTGGCCAAGATGTCGAAGATGAGAGGGGAGGGAAGAGAGAAGGAATGAGCGAGCAGAAGTGAGCTGCACGGAGCAGCGGCTGTTTTCACAGGGGGCGGGGATCGGGGAGGGATTCAGAGTGGGGGTGGCTACACACAAGACACGTGGTTTACGCGAAGCGTCGGCTGATGTAGATTACCGTCGTCGTCACAATTGTCATCACCATCACCACCATCATCATCATTCATATCATCCTTATCACACCACCACCATCATCAGGTTGCAGTTGATGTTGATATAACTGGGTTTGTTTTACAATTAACGATCGCCTAATTTATCACATTTATAACCAGTCTATTTGCTAATTAACCCATTAGCTCATTATCACATCCTTAATATATCATAACATCATCAATCGCCTCATTGCTCACATCATCAGCTATACCTGGTTAACAGTTACCTAATTAATCACAATAACCCCCGGCACGTGAAGCATCACATGGCAACGCAATCACATTCATTGATTTATTGATAACGGCGTCATCGATCGCGTCATTACAATCATGCACCTCGTTAATTATCGTGCCTGCGGTGACGTCACTGGCGCTCATCGTGATCGCAAAAAGAGTCGCGCCTCGTCTCGGCCCGAGTGACCGCGCTCCAGTGACGTCACGGAAGGCCATAGCCTCGAGCAAAGCACCGGAGCTGGAACAGATCAGCAAAGACTCCAGTCCAGTGTTTGTTTTAGTCCAGCTGGAGTCAAATCCAGATACTCCTAGTCCAGATAAAGTCGAGTCCATTTCACCCCGGTCCAGAAAAAGTCGAGTCCAATCAATCCAGATCATAATAAACCAGTCCAGAATCCAGCCCAGATAAAGTGCCGCCCATTGTATCAAGTAACTCCAGGCTGGTCACTCCAGTCCAATGGATTTATGGACTCCAGTCCGGTCGCTCCCGCCAGCCCGGCCGCTCGGCAGCTCCCTCCACTCCCCCCCCAGAGAGGGGGCGGGGGAGCGTGGGTTGAGGAGGAGTTCTGGCCGATAACAAATGCAAACACAGACACTCATACTGCACGAACACCCTCACCAACCCCGCATATAACAACAACATGGCTCCTAACACTACCCCTACCACTTCCATTACATCTACCCACAAACACTAATCCTAAGCCGAACACTACCTCTAACACTAACCTTAACCACGAACCCTACACGAATACTATCCGTCACACTACCCTACCTCTACTACTAACCCTAACACTATCCCTCCACTAACACTATCCATCACACTTTCCACAATACTAACCACTAACACTCCTATCTCTAACACTGCTCCTACCTCTAACAGTTAACCTTAACCACTAGCCCTGCACTCACACTATCCCTAACACTATACAGAGTACTAACCCTAACCACTAACACTACACCTATCCCTAACACTGCCCCCACCACTAACCCTACACTAACACTAACCCTGCCCACACCACTACCACTAATACTCCGACCGAGGTAGGTGAACAGCAGAGCGAGGTTACACAATCAGGAGTTCAGATCCCAGTTGAGGGTCGTCCCTTGGGGGTAGATGTCACAAGTGGTTGTCCTGTGGAAGAGACTCGCCCCCGCCATGTGAATATGGAATGTCCACCACTGGCCCAGGTTTGTATACAGACGAACACCGCCTTCATTGCTCATTCGAGCAGGAAACTACTCTGCCCTCTTTAATCCCAACACTGCAGCCATCACTAATCCTACCCCTGAGCCGACACTACCCCTACCTCGAGTGCTACCCCTACTGCTAAACGCTAAAACTAATCCATTCATTATCCCGAACCCCAACGTCATCCCTACCGATTTCACACTTCGCATTGTCCCGAAAACCCCCAACCAATCACGCAAATCACACAGACTGCCTCCTTGCCCCCCCCCCCCAGGCCCCTTCTCTCCGTCCCTGTCTCTCTGTCTCCCTCTGTCCCTGTGTTCGCCCGTCTATCTGTCTCTCTGCCACTCATCCCCGTCTCCCTGTTTGCCTCCATGATTCCCTTACCCCCCCCCCCCACCTTTGTATCTCCCTGTTTCCCCGCGTCTCTGTTTCTCTGACTCGGCTCACCCCTTCCTCCGGCTCAGGTCTCCCTCACGGCCCTGTGGCTCTCCGCTCTCACCTCACCGTCTCATCTCACTCCTCTCCTCCTGCCCACACACGCGTTTATACAGCGCGCTCCTCTCATATCCCCCTCCTTCCCCCCCACCCTCCCTGCCCTTTCCCCACCCCTTCCCTCCTCCCCCTCCTCCACTCTCTTTCGCTCCACGCTTTCTCCGCCCTCACCTCCTCCCCTCCACTATCCTCTCCCTTTTCACCGATCTCTCTCTCCCCCTCCCCCCTCTCTGTCGCTTCGTCTGTCCTCTCTCATTACCCCCCCCCGTCCCTATTTCCCCTCCTCTTTACAGCTCCCCTCTTTCTTTCCAGTGATCATCCCTCCTTCCCCGCGCCCTCGCTCTCTCCTCCCTGTCTCTCCCGCACTCTCCCTCGCTCTCCTCTTCCCTCCACCACTCTCCCTCGCACTCTTTCGCACTCCCCTTCTCTCCCCCGTGCTCTTTGCTTCTATCCTCTGCGCTTCCCCACTCGCTCTCCTCATCTCTCCCTCGCATTCTCGTTCTCTCCGCTGCGCTCTCTCTCTCTCTTTTCTCTCTCCTCCTGCTGTTCCCCGCGCTCTCGCTGTCCCTGCCCCCCACTCTTCCTGCCCCCCCCACGCTATCCCTCGCTACGCTCTCCCTTCCCCTTTCCTGCTCTCCCCTACACTCTCCCCACGCGCCCCCTCCACCCCCTCTCATTCCCTCCCTCTCTCTCGCTCTCCCATCGCTCTCCCTCCCTCCCTCTCACGCGCGCGACGCGTGACGTCTCCCCGCACGGCGCCTGACGTCACCGCCGCCGCCGCTGCCGCCGAGAGCGAAAGGGGCGGCGGAGCAAAGATGGCCTCGCTGAGCAACGGGCTGGGCCCGGACAACGGCGGCGTCAACAACGGCGGCGGCGGCATCAGCAGCAGCGGCGGCAGCAGCAGCAGCATCGGCAGCGTACACGGCCCCGTCAACGGCCTGAGCCACGGGCACAACACGATCCCCATGAAAGACCAGGACGCCATCAAACTCTTCATCGGCCAAATCCCGCGCAACCTGGAGGAGAAGGACCTGAAGCCGCTCTTCGAGGAGTTCGGCAAGATCTACGAGCTCACCGTCCTCAAGGACCGCTTCACGGGCATGCACAAAGGTGAGGAGGAGGACGAGGAGGACGAGGAGGAGAGGGTGCCTCGCTCGCCTCACTCGCACCGCGCTCCCCAGTCGCACAAAGCACGCGCGTCGCGCTCAACGAACCCCGAGCGCTGCTGCCTCCTCTCGGCTTCTTGCGCCGCGATGGCGGCAGCAGCAGCAGCAACAGCAGCAGCAGCAGTGTCAACAACAGCAGCAGCAGCCGGCGGCGCGGTAACAGGCAGCGTGGGCGAGGGAGCGAGGCGCGCGGGGGTGCGAGGAGGCGGGGTGGTGGCGATGGTGGCCGTGGTGCTGAATTGGACAGCGCCCCGAGCCCCGTGGCTGGTGCTGAAGTAGACAGCGCCTCTCGCTTCGCGCTTCTCGCTGCCGCGTGGCCTCTTCCCCCCCTCCCCCACCACATGCCCCCCCCCTACGTGCCCCCCGTGCCTCGTTGCATTATACCCCCCACCCCTTCCATGCCCTCGTGGAAGCCGTTGGGGGGAGGGCTTCGCCGAGCGGCGCGCGTTTTTCGGTGGTGTGACGACGACGAGGTGTGACGGGGTGTGACGAGGCGCGTGCGTGCGTGGTGGGACACACTGTCACCTCATCGCCGCTGCCATCGTCCGCTAGCCGCCGCCGTCACCATCCATCGTCACCGTCAACCTCATCATAATCTCATCATCCGTCAAAGGTCGTCACTCGTCCGCAACAAGCCCAAGCCAGCCGCTTCACGAGGGCCCACCTCGTCACCCCCTCCTCGTCCGTGTGCGAGTGCAGGCTGCGCCTTCCTCACGTACTGCGCGCGGGACTCGGCTCTCAAGGCTCAGAGCGCCCTGCACGAGCAGAAGACACTGCCGGGGGTGAGAAGGAGACGCTCGCTCCCTCGCGCACACGCTTGTATCAGAATCAGAATATTTATTCATGCTGCAGGAGGAATCCGATGAGCCATAAAGCTCTTGTGCACAGATGTCCAGTAGGGGCGGGTCAGCACGTTCAAAACAACAAACAATGCAAAAACACGACACGAGTGCAAAGTATAGGGAAGGTAAATAAATCACTTAAAAATGAAGACAAATAAAACTCAACTATGTTTTACCTTACCAGGTAATCCCGTTGCGGTATTAACTTGTTTTTCAGAAGAGACCTGGCCATAGATGATAGCTTATCGTGTAGAAATTTATAGCAGAAAAATAATGAAAATAATCTCGCACCCATGAAGGCACGGCATACGAGGGGGGTTTGGTGGCCAGCACCACACCCGGCCGTCTTCGTCTCTCTCTAGTGGTGATACTTTACTGCACATCGCACCGGCTACTCATTTGAGGCTGAGTCGATCTAGGGGAGGGCCTAAGACTGGTTCAGATAAGCGGCACTGGTATTGGTGGCCGTGAGCAGAAATCGAATTCGGGTTACTGGGTTCGTAGCGCAGCGCGCTAACCGCTACACGACCGCTCCCCACGTGTACACTACCACGCGTGTTTACAAAGATCAACCTTATAGACTTAACAGTATTTTGGGCGAGTGCTGATAGCGAGTAGCACCTATGAAGGGCGGCACGGCACGCCCGCTGGTAGTGGTGTGTCCAGCATTACGCCCGGCTGCCTTTGTCTCCCCACAGTGGTGATGTTTACACACCACACCAAGTACTCATTTAGGGCTGCATTGACCTTGAGACAATCCAGGATCGATTTAAATAGTCGTCACTGATTTTGGCTGTGAGCGGGAATCGAACTAGTGGTCGCTGGATTATAAACACAGTGCGCTAACCTTTGCGCCACCGCTCCCCAAACAGATACTGTACATACATATAAGCGCACATACATACCCATATACAGTACACATATGCATACACAGATATACATAAACACAAGCGCAGATGCACATATATACACAGTCCTACACGTTGATGAATATATGGGTAATCTCACAAATACACACATACATACCGAAATATATCAACATACATTCACAGAGACGTACACATATACATAACATATAGACACACAAAACCTAGACATAAATACACATACACACACACACAGACATAACCATACGTACACAAATATACATAAATAAACACAAAATAAATATATCTCGACACATATATGCACACACACCGATTTGAATACAAAGGTCATCTGTATAGCCTTAAGGGACTGTTGGGGCAAGTGCTGTGAGCGAGCAACTATGATTATTCCCAGTGGTGGATGTGTACACACTGGACCAAGCACTCATTTAAGGCTGAGCCGACTTAAGAGAGGCTCAAGACTGGTTCAGATATTTATCAGCGATGTTGGCCAAGCGCGGGGAATCGGACTCGGTTCGCCGGGTTCGTAGCGCAGTGCGCCAACCACTACGCCACCGCTCCCCGCAATAAATGCATACAGAGAGACACACACTGACACACAGGGGCACACACACGCACGTGTACTGCTCCATGGAAGGCGATTTACTTGGGTTCATTGATGATGCGGGGCAGGGATTCGCTTCAGCCGGGACCGTCTGGGGAATGCTCGGCGAGCCGAAACGTGTCCGCCCACCCGGCACACCACACACAGTATCCCTCTCGTTACGACAATGGTTGCCAGTCACGTATCGGCTCCAGGGATGGTGTAGTTGTGTTTACTGCGAGACGTGGAGGAATGTGCTGCCCCTCTAGCCTGAGCGGCACTGCGAGTCAACCCAATCAGCCGCACAGACCCGAGTATATTTGTGCCAAATAGCGCCTCTCTAGCCATTCTAGAACATCATTAGAATTTACATAATTCAATTAGCGCCGATCGTCTACAGCTATTAGATACGTGCACAACACACGGACACACGCGCGCACACACAGACAAATATCCCCCGGGTAGCCTTGCGCAGGCAAGTGCTGTTAGCGAGCGCCTACGAAGGCCTGCACGGCACACGATGGGGTAGGTTGACCAGTAGGTAAGCATCACCCCCGGCCGCCTTTGTCTCTCCCCAGTGACTGATGTTTACAAACCACACCAGGTATTCATTTAAGTCTGAGTCGACCTAGGGGAGTCCTAGGACCGGTTCAAATATTTTCCACTGTTATCGGCATGAGCGGGAATCGCCAACTCGCAGTGCGCTGACCACTACGGCACCCCTCCCCATGCAAACACGTACACACACAAACACAAAAAGATCCCCCGTGTAGCCTTAACAGACTGTAGGGGCAAGTGCTGTTTGCGAGCACCTATGAAGGCCGGAACGGTACACGAGGGGGTGGGTGGCCAGGACCACGCCAGACCGCCTTTGTCTCCCCTGTGGCGATGTTTACACACCGCACCAGGTATTCGTTTAAGGCTGAGTCGACCCAGGACCGCCACCGCGTGTACACACAGTCACACGCTCACATAGATATAGGCATACACGTCTGGTATATTTTTACATTGAGATAAACACACAGACACAGGTTACACATTACCTGGCGATGCTGCTACTGCTGCGTTGGCAGTAGGTGCACAAGCACAATGAACAAACAACAACAACAAGAACTAGTAAATAACACTTTTGTGCGCGGCCTTGAAAGGAAACAAAAAAGGATAAGCGACGTTTCGGGAAATGGCCCTTCCTCATCGTACATAGAGAGACCACAGACATAGTGATTAAGAGTGGACGACTGTGCTCTGTACCTTAATGAAATGTTTCAATCGTTTGCTAATGAACAGATTTAACGACATGAATAGCTACATACGTAACTATATGAATAGTTACGTAAATATTCGTAGCCGTTGAGCAATCGGCAAGATGTGGAAAGGGCGTCGGTGGGGGGGGGGAGAGGCGGGTTCTCCCAGTGAGCATCTGTTAAGGTCGTGTGTGTGACCAACCCCACACACACAGCCAAAGATCCCCCGAATAACCTTAACAGACCATTGGGGCAAGGGCTGTTAGCGAGTACCGATGAAGGTCGGCACAGAAAACACGAGGCGGTAGGTGGCCAACACTCCGCCTGGCCGCCTTTGTCTCCCAAGTGCTGATGTTTACACGCCGTACCAGGTATTAATTTGTGGCTGAGTCGACCTTAGAGGATGCCCAGGACCAGTTCAAATATTCGCCACTGTTATTTGTCATGAGCGGGAATCGAATACGAGTCGCCGGGTTCGTATCGCAGCGCACTAACCTCTACACTACCGCTCCCCGCACATCCACTGACTGTGGCCGCACGGCAATAGCGCTTGCAAACAACACGATCGTGTGAGTACATCGTCACTCGGGAGACAAAGGCGGTCGGGTGTGGTGCTGGCCATACACCCCCTCGCCCGATGTGCTCGCCACTTGCCCCAACAGTCTGATCAGGATATACGGGGGATCTGTCTTTGTCTTTGTGTTGGGAGCGGCTTAGCGCTGCGCTGCGCCACGAACACAGCCACTGACCCGGGTTCGATTCCCGATCACGGTCCACACCAGTGACGATTATCTGAACCGGTCCTGAGCCTCCCCTAGGTCGACTCAGATGAGTACCGAGTGCGGTGTGTAAACATCAGCACTGGGGAGACAAAGGCGGTCGGGCGTGGTGTTGGCCACCCATCCGCTCGTGTTCCGTGCCGGCCTTCGGAGGTGCTCGCTAACAGCACTTGTCCCAAAAGTACGTGAAGTCTATACGGGGGATCTTTGTGTGTGATTGTGTGTGCGTGCGGTCACGTGGCTGACTACCTCCGACCCACACCCCCAGCCCGAAACCTCGCCCTAACCCTAACGCTAACCCAATACCATAACCCGACTAGATCCAATCAAAAGCAAGATACATCTGACGTTAACCCTGACCGCCATATCATCATCATAACCCAAAGCCTAGCCCTAACTCGAACCAAGACCCAAACCCAGCCCTGACTCTAACGACGACCCCAAACCCTATCACCTAACCCCTATCCCCAACCCGAGCTCCAATCCCTTCCACTCTCTCCGTGATCCAGAGTTACAAGTATTACGCGATGGAGAAACCTACTCTCTCTACACGTGTATGCACACACGCACAGGCACACATGTGTACACACACAAGCTCACACGTGTACACGCGCAGGCTCACACGAGTACACTCACAAGCTGCTCACACGTGTACACATACGTGTACACACACGTGTACACGCGTGATCCTGCGCGTGTACCCTGCGCATGTACATGTATGTGTAAATGCGTGTACACACGCAGGCTCACGTATACGCGCACACATGCTCACACGTGTACACACAATCACGCGTGTGTACACATCAACACGTGCACACACACACACGTGTACACACAATCACGCGTGTGTACACATCAACACGTGCACACACACACACACGTGTACACACAATCACGCGTGTGTACACATCAACACGTGCACACACACACGTGTACATACGGGGTTCTGTGTGAAGGTGCGGGTGGAGGGATGAGGGGGAATGGGGGAGGGCTGAGAGATCGGGATGAGTGCCTCGAGGGTGGCTGGACGAGGGAGCGGGGTGAGGAGTGAGTGCAGGTGGGCGGGTGAGGGGGCGCGAGTGAGGGGTGAGTGCAGGTGCGCGAGTGAGGGGGCGCGAGTGAGGGGTGAGTGCAGGTGGGCGAGTGAGGGAGCGGGGTGAGGAGTGAGTGCAGGTGGGCGGGTGAGGGGGCGCGAGTGAGGGGTGAGTGCAGGTGGGCGGGTGAGGGGGCGCGGGTGAGGGGTGAGTGCAGGTGGGCGAGTGAGGGGTGCGTGCAGGTGGGCGGGTGAGGGGGCGCGAGTGAGGGGTGAGTGCAGGTGGTCGAGTGAGGAAGCGGGGTGAGGAGTAAGTGCAGGTGCGCGAGTGAGGGGGCGCGAGTGAGGGGTGAGTGCAGGTGGGCGGGTGAGGGGGCGCGAGTGAGGGGTGAGTGCAGGTGGGCGAGTGAGGGG